CCTAAATGTTTGCTTTTCCTCCTATTTTTGTGGAACACTAGAGGATAGAGCTTCGTTTTCTTTTAAGGTCCTTTTGGTGATGACAGTTTGAGATAGAGGCTACCAAGGGCTCCCAGAGCAAAGCTGAGTAACATTAGTCTAGAGCAGCAGGTTTCATTTTCTCCTGCAAAACCTTGATTTTGCATCACCCTGGCCCATCGTCTGCTACAGTCCCAGACTTTGAAGGGCATCCGTGAACACTTTAAAGCTGAAATAACTCTTGTTCTCACTCCAAGGAAAGTTTCAACTGTAGATAGCCACACACAATACCAAGAAAAAAGGTTTTTCCTAAGTCATTCCATCTTACGCTTTAGTAAACATTCTTAGGTTACATTTGTCTCCACTTTTCAGAGATATACCTGTTTTTTAAGCTTTGCTTTGGAAATAAGCGGTAGAAGTGAAGGACAGGTTTAATCCACTAGCTGCAAAGTTACTTGGGGCCTGCTGACAAAATTGATCTTTGGAATCTCTCTCTCTCTACCCCTATCCACTTACAACTCGCTAGGGAAGAAGCTTGTTTCAGGGTCGTATTTTTCACTGTGAGAAAACAGAAGTATCTTGGCATACAGTGAAAGTTTGGCAGCATTTCTGCAACATACATTTGCCTCTGCTCAATTATCTCCAGGTTTTTATTTTAAAGCCTATGAACAAAAACCTTTATTGTTTCAGTGACACCTGAGCACAGGCTCATTAATAAATGGAAGGAGTACTTAGTGCCAAGAGGAACTTGCTGATACGAACTTTTGATGCGTTACCAATGTAGACAAGATGATTGCTAAAGCTTTCAGCCATGCACAAGAGCCATATAAACTACACCCACGATGGCCTTGTTAAGATATCAGATAGCATTGGTATTTTATTCCACTGTTTCAGGAAGTCCTGACATTAATTGTAATGTAGTATTTCTTTTCTTTAAGTGCCCAAGCATAACATACCCAAAATCTTAGAACAACTACCTGCTGGTTCTGCTGCAAGCAGTTTAGCAAGTATTTTAAAGTGAGATTCTTTTAGAACTTTCCCCCAAAGCATGTACTAGTCTTACATGAATTCAGTAGACATGAGGGGGACAACCTTTAGCTAGGAGAATACTCCCTCTTTAACTACAGAACAAGAAGCAAAGAAAACTTTAGAAAAAGCACCCCCGTGCTCACATACCTGCCTCCCTACCTACAGGAGGCCCACCCAGAAATGGGAGGGAGGGTAGTTGGGTCTCCAAGCTCTGTGCCCTTTGAAGGCTCTGCTGAAGTTGTCCATAACTGCAACGCTGACAGCAGCCACTCCACTGGTGTGCACATCCCTCCAGAAAATGGGCTCCACACAGGAATCTCAGGAAGGTCAGTGAAAACCATTATGTGAAAACAACCAGTTTTCTGCTACCATGCAAAAGATTTGAATCCACAGGGGAAGAACAAGTGGAGAAAGCTCAGAAAAAGGTAGATTCATAGAAAAGTAACAAACTTTGCATGAGGATTTACCCCAGAACAGGGGTTTAAGATATTGCAGGTTTAAGATATTTTTGAGAGACACTGTCAGTTTGTGATCTACTGCAACCTATTTTTTTAAGCTAAGTAGGTTGCTTCCATTTATTATAGGGATTCTCTTGGAAAGGAGCTTTGAAAGGGTGTAATTGTAAGGTGTTACATACTGCCAAATGCCAGGGGAAAAGAAAAATAAGCAGGAGTAAGAGGGATGCAAAACAGTGCTCAGGACAACTGATGAAAATATTTAAATATCAGATTTAATTTGTGTAAATTCATTTGCATATAGGTTTTCTCCTCCTGCTCCAAACCAAATCCTTAATTTTTGATAGTGATGACAGGCTGCCAAGAGAACCACAGGTAGTGGTTCAAAAGCAGTACAGTCTCCTATAATTTTAAAGGAAAGTTATTTTCCCCTGAGTGTTGCTCAAATTTGTGCAAAACAAGAGAACTGCTGGTGTTGGCTAAGCTCAGCAGTGGGATGGCAGGGAGGAGGGCACAGCTGATTCACTGGTGTTCGCATAACAGCAGCGAAGGGTCACGACGGGAGCGCCGCCGCGGCGGGACAGCCCGCACTGGGCCGTCGCCATGGCTGCTGCGAGCGCCTGGCTGTGGCGGCCCTGGCTTCTGGGGCGACTCACAGCTACCAGCACGGCTGGCGCTGCCGAGCTGCTCCTCTCCTCTCCTTTAGCATGGAAGCTTAAGCAAGGGCAGCAATGGGGGAAGTTTCAGAAGAGATTCAAAAGGAGAGTCAGGGTTAAAAAAAAAGTCTTACTTAAACTCTAAAGATACACCTGTTGCAGCACCAATTGTTTCCATATTTAAAGTCTAATTTTTGCAGGACTTTAGTCAATAATTGACTAGTTTTCCAAGACTGGCCCTCAAAACCAACTCCCTTATCTCTTTCTCAGCCCCTTTTATTTAGCTATGTAATTCAACTATAAAAGAGACTTAAAAGAAAGAAAAATTGAACAGCACAAGCATTAACATACAGGGTTTTGAGGTGTTTGTTAAGGAAGCCTGCTTGGATATTCAGAGTGTCAGAAAGACTTCAAGTCCAGTTAACCTGATATCAAGCATCTTTTTCATGAACCACAAACAGAAAAAACTGACAACTGTCTTACAGAGGTTACCAAGACCCATTTACAGAATCATGGGCACAAACAAGGGGGTTTTACGTGTTTTATTTGACCATTTGGAATGATTAGTATTTATAATCAACAACATAAATCCACCCCTCCATGAAAAGACTTGACAGCTTGTTATTGACAGGCATATTACAAACTGTTGAAGGGTGAAGAATTACAGACATATAAAAATGAATAACATATCATCATTAAATTGCCTACTCTGCTCAAAACTGTTTAATCCTCTAACTTCATAAATTAAGATTTTTAGAAAAAAATCAACACTTCATTGAAAAAATACATTATATTTAGTACACAGTGTAACAACAAAACAATTAAACTAGTGCATCAAAAGGCAAAGAGCTGAACCTCTCCTTCGGAGTATCAGTACCAATATTAATCCCTTACACAAACACAGTTTACAGCCCACAAAAGCTACCAAGAAGTCTTCAAGAAAACTCCTGCTGTGCAAATTTATCCCACCTAAAACCGTTTATTTTGGAGAACTTTCTCCTATATTTAAATTACTTTAAAATGAGGGCCTAAAATCCGATTTCCTTCACATCTGGAGTTCCCATCTAGATGTTCCTCCTGAAGCTAAAAAGGTAACCAACAGACCTGATGTATGGATATACATCAAATATCAGGATGAAACTCAAGCAGAAAACTGGCTTTAATTTCTCACCCAGTTAAATAGGTAACTGCTCAATATTCAGAGCCCTTTTTACAAAGGTTTTCAAGGTTAGTGTTTTACTGTACTGTTGTTCAAGGTTACTTCCATATTTGCATGGCAGCTTTACATGGAGCTATGCAGCTTTATACATACAGATCTGTGACCAATCAATAGGGCTGGCAGTATAATTGTTGGGAGGGGGAAATCATTCATCTCTCCAACATGGAATTTGGCAATCTCTTCTTCCAAAGAGAATTTGAAAAATAATCTTTATAATAATTTTCCAGTAATAATTCTGATTATATTAAATCTATCTTAGATTAAGAGATACTGAAGTTAATGCTTACAGGAGTCAGTCTTCAAAATAATGTGAATCAGAGTAATGTCAGTATAAATCAAAATATACTGCAAATATGCTTCTCAAGATATCATATTGCCTGCTGCTGAGAACTTCATACAGACCAGAGTGCCCTACCAAGTCTGGACCTGGCACTGTATGTGAAGTTAGACACACAGGAGGCATGTCTTGTAATGGCAGAAGACATCCACTTCATTCAAACTGACCAACAGAAAAACAGCAAAATAAATTCAGAAACCAGCAGAATTTGGTAAAAGGTGATGAAAACCCATTTAAGGGTTCATTATTTTTCATTACAATTTAAGGTATTGTTTTTTCATAGCTTGGAAAACCAAAGAAGTGAGCCACAAGAGTGGAATCACTCTCTCCCCGCCTCCCCTGCGCCGCTTCCTTAGGATCCTCGGATTTGAAGTTTCCTCCAGTCCTTACCTACTGAGGCCTAGAAAAAAATCTGAATAAGGATAGATTGCAAGTTCTTAAGGACAAAGACTTTTATACCTAGGAACAACAAGATTAAACAAAAAATACAAATTACATACAGCTGTGCTTTAACTATTTTTTGCTCTAAGGTTAGCTCCATCACAGGTCAAAGATCCATCTATCACCTGCAGCTTTAGGAACAACAGGCTGATTTTTCACACATTATCTGACATAAATGTAAATGCTCTGCATGTCAGCAGGCACGAGTTGATGACAGAGGTTTATCCTTTACATAGTGCAAAGAAAAACCCAAGGAGTGCAAGTTAAACTTAACTCATTTCAATCCTTTCATTGCAGAAGAGGTAGCTTGAAGTTAAGGCACATCCTGCATTGCCTGATCAGTCATAAATTACACTGGAAGAAGTAATCAAATGCACTTGAAGTGCTGCATTGCCTAGTCTTCAACTGCAGTGTAGAAAAAACAAAAAAAAAGGTACACTGTGTAAAGGAAATTTGAGAACCACTGCTTACAACTACATGGGGCCACAGGCTCATTAGGCTTTACTGGCATTTCATTCTTTGAGAGTGAAAGGCACGGACACAATCATGAAAGTGTTAAAACCACAGCATCCTTCTAAAGCTATCTAAAAAGCCCAGGAAGTTAAGATCTTGCCATTCAAAAATATTTAAATCTCTAATTTGGTCTCCATCATTACCTTAATCTAAAATATTCCTCTAAAAATTGAAGGGTAAAAACCCCATAACCAGGGGATGGGGTTACAGTCACACTGACACCTACTCCTCAAGTAAACCTCTAATAGTAAGGACAGAATGCTGATTCCCTGCCAACAGATGAATCTCCATATAGCATTAAATTGTCCTCGAAGTTTGAAGTGGCTCTAATCCAGAGCAATGTGAAACCTGGGTTCTCCCAGCACAACCGCCACCTCAGCTGGCTTCAACGTGGAAGTTGTCAAACTGGGCAAACTCGAAGGAGCGCGTCCCGATAGCAGCCCAGCCGCTGCTCGGGCTCCCGACGGTGACGTTCTCCCACAGGGGATAACCGTTCAACAGCCCCCAGGCAGAAGTGCCCTGCCAAAAGAAAGGAGAGAAAGTTACCTCTGTAAAACCCAGGGACTAAATGGACTGGCACGGAGCCATTTTGCATGGCACAAGGGTGATTAAATTCAGAACGACGTTAAGTGAACTTTCAATTACACTTCATATATTTTCCATGCAGAGGTGCCTCCAGATCTCCAGAGCCTCTCGGCCATGCGAAATAGAATGGATGCATTCACAGTGAATGTATGAAAGGCTCATTTTCACCCAAAAGCTTTGCAAATTTATTGAAGAATCTAAAAGATAAACTGTTTTTTCCTCTTGCATCTGCATCAGGCCAGCTGTCTTCAGGAGAGCAGCAAAACTAGAGCTACCTGATTGCAGAGTCCTCTGTGGAATGTGACATAGTAGGCATTTATTCTACAGATTTAATCAAAAGTCAAAGGACAAGAGATTTATTTTAGTCACTAACCTAACAGGAAGAAGAAAGGACAGACGAACTTTCAAGTATAACCTTGCCATAAAAACAGTTTCAGTAAAAGTCACTTGATGTATTTTGCTAACATATTCCACTAAACAGCAGTGCAAAAATATTCCAATACTCTCAGCTCGGCAGCACTTAAGTGGCTCCATTTACAAGGGTGGCGGGGGGGGTAACATCCCTACAAAAGGCTACTGCAGTAGTTCTCTAACAGTCCTCAGAATGGAGAGAGAAAAAAATCAGGTTAAAATCTTTCATAATGCTAAGAGATTCAGCTCTATCCCACCTGTTAACAGCTTTCAACTAATCTTTGTGGTTCTTTTCTATACCCTCTCCAGTTTCTCACGATCTCTGTGAAATTACAGCCAGCAAAACTTGTTAAGACATTCTAATATTAGTTTCAAATAACCAATAGAAACATCTTTATTTCAGACAGGGCATTTTGATGCAAACAGATAGCCAGCTGGTATTCTAGCCACCTGCATCTCCTTACCTGGATGTTGAGAGTTAGCGTGTGCCATGCGTTGGCCCGGACTCCAGACAGTCCTTTCATTAGGATCTCTTTCCCAGCTGCAAAACAAGCTTGAGGTCAGCAAAGTGTCACTGCACACCCTTGCTGTAAGGCTGACAGCTAAGCAGCAAGCAGCAGGAGGAAACTAATACTCCATTTTCAGAGGTATTCAGAACCAGTAGCTTATGGGTTTCAACTGCCACATGAGGGGATTATCACACAGACCTGAACTCTGCACTGCCAATGTCACTCTCCTGTTTTGTCAGGAGTGTTTCACCACTGAAATCTGTAAGGGTTAAAAGGCTACTAGGGACTAAAATAAGGGGAGCCCATAATAGGAATATAGTTCCACAGAGTGTGACAGAGGTTATTGCTCTGCTTGTTCCACAAGTGTTCTTGTTTATGCATTAGTTCCATTTTAAACAGCTTCTGCTTTCCTGAGTTTGAGGCATCACATTAGCAAGTTGCTTAGTTCTAGTCAAAATTTAAGCTGAGCAAAATCAGGTGGAACTGACATCTGGATGGAAGACGTAGGAGGAAAAAAAAAGGCAGCAAACAAGTAGCATCTTCAAATATTCAGTACAGAGCCTGAATATGAAATTAACCATCTTCTAGAAGTAAAAACACTGAAAATAGCCGTGAAGAAAATAATCATTTTGCATAACCAGCATCCCAATCTGAAATAATGAGCTGGTTAATCAATTTTCCCTCATTTCAGCAAGGAAAATTACTCTTGACAGCCTGAGAAAGTAATTGGGTAATGTTGCCATGTCCTATTAAAAATAAATATTTGATTCCATCCTTAATGTATGTATATTTTTATACAGCTGATACTTGAATCGTTTTGGAGTTAGATTACTGTGAAGCTTCCCAGGTTGCAATATTATGCTAAGAGACGATGTGACGCCTTTTCTATTATACCTGCTCACTATTAAGAAGGGAAGAAAATAGAAAAAAGGAGAGGGAAATGAAGAATGGTTACCAAATGGAAGAGAATATTGTTAAGGTCCAGCTGTGCAGTGTGAAATGAGTCATTAAATTGTATTTCCAGGAATCACTGGAAGTTATAATTTATACTCATGAAGCGTCAGGAAGAGACATTTATACCAACAAAAGCTGCCACCATTTCAAAGCAAGTTAAAAATGAACTTACAGCCATCGCTCTAGCATACTAAAACATATAGTCTTTCATGTGCCTGCCAAGTGGTGCACAGGTGAACGTATGAGCACCAGCATCACAAGCAGGACATGCTCTGTCCCCACTGAACTGAGCTGACAGAGCATAAGGCACAACTTGTGGAACAGCAGGCCACTCATCTAAAACAGATTTACCCATCCTGACTTACCCTGCTGAGTGAGATGGGCCACGGCTTTCAAAGGCGTTTTCTTTTTAGGTATAGTATAAGAACCTAACCTTTCTAAAATTGTCGCCACTATGACAGCATATTTACAAAAAGCAAGGTAAGTTACCCGAACTATTAAATAGGTTTTGTCAACTCCCAAAACTCCCAAAAGCTGCAGATACTTATTGTGTCAGCCAGTTGCCTTCAAGTGTTCCCTCTGCATACAGAGCACATACATTAGAGCACAGCAGGTTAAGTTCACAGTGACAGCAGCTGCGGTATGAAATCTGCACTGTTTTAATCTTCAGTTTTCTAGAGGATTTTTAAGGTGAGATGTCCATACATCAGCATGTGCTTTAGTAAACAGCTGCTCACCTAGATCACCAGTGACTCTGTAGGTGCCATCTGCAAAAACCCAGAAGAAAACCCCCTTGGTGCTGCGAACATATATGCCACCGTTGTCAACTCTTCCTGCAACAAACACCCCTCCATCATGTGGCTGTTCTATGTAGACGTCACAAGTGACTGTGAAATTCTCCCTGCAAGCAAAGCATAGGGTTTATCAAGCTAAGAATGGATTTTGAGAAGGCAGATGAGAGAAAGCCTTTCTCTACACAACCACCTCCAAAAGCAACCTTTCTGAGGAAAGCTTTAGCCACCCTAATTGCTACCTGGAGCAGGATATGTACAGATCCATCCTCACCGATTGCCTGTCTAGACTGGAGTAGTCCTTCACCCAAAAGTTTATAGAGCATCCTCTAAAAAATTCCTCTTCTCAGAGTAACAAAAAATAAGCATCTTGTAAGCAGACAGAGATTGTCTACTTGTTACTCAAAGATCTGCATCTCCAAAGGAAATACATGAGGTCTGCAATGAGTTAGAAACTCATAATGTGTTAGAAACTACTTCCTTAGATGACTACATTAATTCCAAGATTTTAATTCATAACTGCTCAAATTTGATGTTCATTTGTCCAGGGTTTTTAAACACAGGTCAAGTCTTAGGCAATCCAGATGCCTTACCCAAGCAAATTATGAATATAATTTGTACATGAATATCAAGAAAAGTAACAAATAGTTATACTAAGTTGAATTCATTTGATTTTCCTGTGCAATAGCAACACTTGAGCACACTTGTAAAGCACCAAGCTGGGCACAGGATGACCATCAAAAAGAATAAAAAAACACCATAAATCAAGTGGCACCTGGAAAACTTACACTTTTTTTAAAAAAAAGTTGCAGTACAAGGTCCTTACAAAAACTAAAAGTGTTCATCTTAGTAATGTGTGAACAAGCTAAAAAACCAGAATTCCAAGTCTGAAGTGATTTGGAATAAAACGATATTAATATAGATACAACTAGCTGTATGTTCAATAGTTATCAGAACAAAACATTAACAAAGTGGGAGCGCAATTGCAGAGCTTTTCCATGCAGAAATGTAGCTGTGCTCTGTAGTAGGATAGCCAAATTCACAGTTCCAGGGACCACTCACAAGATGGCAGTCTACAAACAAATAACTGAATTAACTACTAAACTATTCCCTTGTATTTCCTTTTCTTACCTTCTTCTTGATACAATGTTAATCAAATCACTATGTAATCAAGCTTCATTTGGACAAGCAAGATCACTTACTGTAATTTAAACCAAATCAATCTTTTGTCCCATTTAAAAACACACTGAAACTCGGTGAACACTGAATTATGACTCTACTTGCTCAACACTAGAAAACGTTACCAATATACATGAGGAAATCTCTATCTTTGAAGGTTTTCAAGACTCATCTAGACAAAGACACAGCTAATCTGTGTCTACTAGCAATAGTCCTGTCTCAAGCTGGGCTCTGGAAGTCCCTTTCAGTCACCACTTCTACATGCCTACAGCCTGAACACAAACACCCTGTCCAAGAGGGGTAAGGCTGGGGACATGTGAACCCATCAAAGCCCACACCCATAAGGAAGACATCTTCCTAGGCATCACCAGAAAAGCGTGGTTACATACCAATTAAAATTTCCTATGATACTGATGGTTTGATCTGCATCAGAGACCCAAGTGATGGGTCGCTCAACTACCACCTGGCGGAGAGTGAACACATGATCTCCTGGATCAGAAGTGTTTATGAAGTACTCAAATACCCCCGTCTGATCTGCAAAATTCGGAGCTTCGCTGAAAGGTGGATTACCTGTTCAGAGAACAAGAGAGATAAATACAAAAATTTTTCTTCAGCCCAATCCTGCTTTCAGAAAGTTCCTCTGAAGAGAGTCTCCATTCCTCCGATTCACTTTTATCATAGTACAGACTCCAAAACGATCTGAATTTTGGGAGCTGGGAGGTTCTGTTGGGTTTTGGTTTTTGTTTTGAAGCAGGCCCAAGTTTATACATATGCATAAAAAACAAACAAACAAAAAATCAAACAGCCTTTTTCTCTTCCTTACTTCCAAAAGCTACTCCATTACAGTTATCATTCGCATCAAGAAATTTAGAACTGTTGGTGGCCACAGAGTTAAGTCACAGTACTAAATGCACCTTCTTGCAAGTGAAGTATGCAGGTGTAAATTGTCAAGAGAAGCAGATATAAATACACAAAAACAAAATAAATATATTACTTCATGTCTGTACACACACAGATGACTCAAATACCATAATGGTTGCAGCCTTTCTATCTAGAGACTATGTCTAATTAAAGTTTCTGGACCAGAGAACTCAAACTTACGAATATTGAAGTCATCTTTGTAATTAGAAGGAAAAGGCTGAGATGGTGGTGGGTCTGGGCAAATGCATTTCTTCCCTGTCTTGAGCGTGGTTAGAGTGTAGACTTCATCCACGTCTAGATCTAAAGAAAAGCTTCCCCTCCAGACCTGGAATTAAAGAGATCAAGCTGCAAAAGAGATCAAACTACTAAACAATATTTCCAAGTTTCTGAGTTAGAAGAGATTTAAGGCAAAAATCCTATCTTCTTGTCTCAGTGTTTTTTTCCTCCAAGCTATATCCAAACTGTTCCCCCAGCTTCTTTATAACCTTCTTCGGATAAGTTTAGTAGAGCTAATAAAATTGTATTCCAAGGGAGAAATTGAGATATGCCTTAATTATGTAGTTAAGGCATGAAAGACCAGGACTTTCAGCAAATGGGGAGGAAACACTTGAAGGTGGACAGATCGACTTGTAGGAATGCTCATTTGTAGGCAGGACTTAAATAAATCACAGGCAAGACAATGTTCCTCACTCTTAAAAAGCAAAACGTATCAAAGTCATTAGTAAATAACATGGGAAAGTGCATTTTTACCAAGTTTGTGAAGAACTCTATTTTCACTACTTTGGGTAGTGAACACACAGACATAATTTCAAAAGGGGTTCTTTACTCCAGAATATTTCTTCCAAATGCACCCAGAAAACATGCAGGTCCCACAGATATGACAAAACATATGCAGAGAGGCTAGAAAGTAGGTAGCTTAATCAGGCCACCAGGTCAGAGAAATACTATAGCTATGATCTTGCAAATCTTCCTGTAGCACCAACTCCAAGGCTAATTCATTCCAGCGTTAACCCTTGGCAGATCAGCATGAACAAGGCTAAACTAGACAAATAATGCCTGGGTCTGCCAGGCTGGCATTTTATTATATTGTTAATGCACAGGTTTAGAATAAGGTAGGGCAGGAAATGAAAAAAGGTAACATCATTAACACATTTGAACCAAGTAATTGATTACTGTCAAACCACATACTTGTTACAAAGCATTGATGCATCAGCCCCTGCACAATTCATATCAGCAGCCTACTCAGCATTTATATTTATGAACACACATAGAAGACCATGAAGCTTCTCTCTGAAGGCACACTCAGAAGGGCCTGATTCAAGTTGCTTGTAATTATTCTGATATATGGGAATGCTACTTTTTTATTTTGTAGCTCTATATTCTAAATCAAAGAAAGAATATTTTTCCACTATCAGTTCTTAAAAGCAAGATTACTATGGAGAATTAAAATGGAACCATTTACCTTTACAGGATGGAGTTGCTGGAAAAAAGTAGACTGGGCAGATTCAAAGCCAAGCCTAGAATACCACACCTGAAGGGTTTTCAGCATATACTGCAATGAAACATAATATAATTTTAAGCCCTCTCACATCCACCTTTAGAAATATCCATCCCTTAAGGGTGTCTACATTTCATTAGGTCTACAGATGTCATGGGAAGCCTCCACTCCATTTATCCAGGCAGCCATTACACACGTTAACTTTCTGCAGATGACTTACATGGATAAGTCTTTGTCCCAACATGCAGCAATACTGCTTACCAAGATAGCAGCCAATGCGATCACACATATACCTTTACTATTAATCAGTGACAGCATCCCTTTAAGACAAACTCTAGACCTACTAACAACAAGCATGAAAGTCTCATGCTAATTTTGCTTTAATGAAACCTAGTTCTTTGCTGCTCATTTTTGCACTGAGTTTATAAATATCCACACTCTTGTGACAGTGCCGTATCAACTACATTAGTTACTGATTTTACATAGACAATCCCTGCTATTTCTTTAATTACACAGAACAGTGAACAAGGCAATCTAGAGTCTTAGATAAGCTGTCTGACACTTCTCCTAAAGGGAATTGTAGAATCAAATCAAATCCTTTTATTGCTACAGTATACCTTTCCTTCTAAAGGAGGAAAATCTAATGACATCAGAAAACAAATTCCAAATATTTAAACACTCCCAGCTTCTGAGAGCAATTATTCAAAACAGCTACTAATAAAACACACTCAAATTTACTCTATGATGAGTGAATGATGCTCATCATTCACATTTCAGAGAGCAATTCAGTTTAGTGAAACAACAAAACCCAGGAGATACTCAGAATATCTCCTTATGGAATGGAGCAACATGACTTAAAATGTACAAATGATGGCAGATTTTTCCCCTGGAAAGGAGCTGACAGCAACTACAAATATCCCGGCTATGCTAGTCAATCAAACTAAGGGAGAAAGGAAGAGCAACCAGCCTTGAAATAAATCCTGAAGAAAAATCCCAAATGCATTTCTATTCTAGGGATTTATTTTCCTCAGCATACAGATGATTAGACTGCAATAGCTCTACAGATTCAGTTATGACAATACATCTCATGGTAAAAGCAAGAGTAAAATGCTTTAAAATTTGCCAGAGGTGCAATAGCTTCTAGATAGCGACTCACTTAATACATCCAGTCACTGTTGTATCTACTTACAAAAGATCCTTTGAGGTGGAAAGTTGCTCTCTGAGGTGACACATGGAAATGAGGCAGTAGAGGCCTGATACACTGAGAGTGATTATGACTCTGGGGAAAAAAGTAACAGCAGGAA